AGAAGAGCTGGACAGTCCAATTTCCTCCAGAGAAATCCAATCCGTGTAAACTCCCTCACACACAAGCCTTCAGGCCGTGGTGGCTTCAGAAGTCATTCTACCAAACACCGGAGGAATGGATGAGCCATTGTGCACAAGCTCAGGGGACAGGGAGGGTCACTTCCCATGGCGTTTTCTGAGCTCAGGATAACCCTGGTTTCCTGATAAGGGCATCAAAAGAAAATGGCCTGGAATTATAGGGAGCCGTGGCGTGCGGTCCCCTGGGCATCTTTAACTCCGAGACACGCGGCTCAGAGTTTCCTTTTCTGTCTTGACTCACGACACGATGTGCAGGAGGGATTGCAGCAATCATGACAGCCACCAACATTTTTCGGGGGAGTGCTGAGGCTCGAAGCCAGGGCCTCGTGCATGCTACGCGCGCTCGAGCGCTCTACCACGGAGCCACACCCCGCCCTCCACTGATTTTCCAAGTACTTTCTCACTTCCCGTCGTTCACCCAGTTCAGGGCTCTCTGATGTGGCAACTCACTCAACGCCCACACAACCTGAACTGGGAGGCACTACTACTTCCTCCCTCTCTTCAGGGGGAATCATGAAAAGACATCCATTCAGGTCACGCACATAAACTGATACAGATGATTCTGTTCCTGGGGCTGGGAATATAGCTCAGTTGGTGGAGTGCTTGTCCTGCACACACAAGGTCCTGAGTTCAATCCCCAGCTCCGCAAAAAGAAAAAGAAAACAGAGAATTCAGTTCCTGGCATTGCGCTGTCTGTCGTTCACAAACTACATCCTTTAACAGGAGTCCTCACTTTTAAATTCGTCCCTCTTAAACATCTAAGGGGCTATGGAGATTGGACAGTACTATTCGTTGGGCACTTTTACAAACGTATGAACTCATTCTGTTCTCACCCGCTGAGGGCAGGGGTCACTGTGTCCATTCTACTGACAGGACAACTGAGGCAGAGAGGTTGCTCTCACGGTGGGTGCAGGAGGGACAGATGAAACCCAAGGCCTGGGAGACAGGCTGTCCCTCCTCCCTCTCCCAGCACCCAGCCCAGAGAGGCAAAGGGGAGGGGTCCCTTCAGGTCCAGTCCCACGTGTCGGTCACCCCCGGAGCTGGCCATTCTGATTTCCGAATTGAGACTGTGGATCAAGCAATTGGGATTTTAATCATTTCCCAAGAGTGACGGAACGAGCCTCATATCCAGGGGTTTTGGGGTACAAGTAATAGGAAAAGAACTGCCCCAGAGGACAGTCCCCCCAGCAGCCGGGCAGGAGGGACGGCTTTCTCAGTCAGCCCTGAGCTCCAGTCCACCAGCAGCACCACACCCGGGCGAGGGCGAGCTCGGGGGTTCTGACCACTCCCAGCCCCACAGCCACCGCCCACCCCACACCGTCCCTGGGCCCTCTCAGGTCACCCCATCCACCGCTGGGCCAAGCCCCAGTGCCCGAAGCAGCAGCAACGAACGCAGCTGGGTTCCGCCTGTTCCCGCCTCGGCATCCGGAACCCACTCGGGACACACTCTGCGTCTGGCCGTTTGTCTGCTGTGATATCGAGATCCGTCCAAGTGGCACTTATCAGCCCCGGGTTTATTTTTGGCTGTCGAGAGCTGTTCCTTCTCTGAACCCAGGCAACTCGCTCTACAGTCTCTGCCAATGGACATTTGGGTCATTTCTCATTGGGGGACATCGTGATCGTGACTGGTAAAGACACGTGAGCACGTCTGCTTCGGGGGTGATGGCCGGCGAGTGCTCTGTGCAGCGTGACCCTTCCACACCTGGTGAACAGGGGAGGACGGCGCGCGGCTGAACTCTGGCCTTCAGGGTGGGCACTGGGCCAGCCTGCCTCTCCCCTCCCCGTCTCCCTCCCCTCTCTCCTCTACTCCTCGTCTCCTCCTCTCTCTGGCGGCTCCTGCAAGGATGCCCACATCAGCCCTGGGTGGAGGGAAGGCCCAGGACAGCACATGTCAACTGGGGGGTGACCTGAGGAAAACGGTGGGACCTGGGGAGTCTGCCGTGGCCACCGGGGACTTTGGCAGGAAGTGAGTATGGCGTGACATCACGGGTTGGGGACTGGACCAGTGCCAGGGTGACCCAAACAGCTCCCCCTCCCCCGCTGAGCTTCCTGCGGGCAAGTGGCTGCAGATGTGCCCGCTGATGCCCGCTCTGGGGGGAATCAGTAAGCCCACTGCCCGCCTCCACCTCCCTCCCCTGCGGGGCCTGGAGGACAGAAGGGACTCCCCAGGAGACTTGGAGGCAGGGACTTCAGAGCTGAGGTGGCCAAATGGGAAGTGGAGGCCCCTGGGGGATGAGACGGGCCAACCTCCAGCACAGGACTCAGCACCTGCTGTCCCCTCCCCGGCCCCCTGCCCAGCTTCCCTTCCAAGGCCCCTCCTCGGGAGCCAGTCTAGTCTCATGAGGGACTCAGGTCTGCTCCACATGTCTTTTGACAGGCGCTTTTCCCTGGCTGCAGTCTCCTGCGTGTCCTTTCTCAGAGCCTCTCCTCCCAGACCACAAGGCCACGCCACAGGGCCCCTGCCCGTCCCGTTCCCCTCTACCCCGGTCCTCCTAGATGCCTGCTAAGTGAAAGAATAAGTGACAGAAACCAGGCATCACAGACTGCGGCGCGGGGGACTATCTGGTGAGTGACGTGAGCTGGTGGGAGAAAAATCGCACCATCTTGACGAACCTGCTTGGCGCTCTTGACAGTGTTGGAAGGGCAGAAAAGCACTATTTTTCCAGGGGAAAAATGCCCAAACATGACAATGATTTACAGTTGACACTGGGCTTCAGTGTCATGGGTGCAGTAGGAAGGGTGGGGACCAAGGTGAAGGTGGCACAGGCCCCCTGAGGACAGCAGGGCTGCTCAGCCCCTCTGCTCCCTGCCACGTGGGCCCCATGATCCCCTAACTCCTGGGGCCTCAAGAGAAGCTTCAAACTGCTTTCCTAGAAACTTCAGCTTAACAAGATTGACTCATTGAAAGGAAAGCAGGGAGGTGGCCATTATTGGCCAGGGCTGTCCAACCCACACTCATCGGTCTATGATCGGGCGTTGACGTGGTTTTAACTGGTGGAGTCATGGATGTCTTTGATTATTAATGAAAACCTCAGAAAAGTGCCCAGACAGACACACGGTTTGACTGTGATGTCAAAGTGCTGATGGACCTCTAGGGGTCACAGGACCCTGTTCTGAAATCTCTGCTCCATGTTAAAACCCCCATTTTACAGGTATAAAAACCGAGACCTGGAGAGGCAGAGCGATTTCTTCAGCACCATGGAGAGCGCAGGGTGAGCTCTGAGACCTCACCGTGAAGGGGAACGCAGTGGATGACCCACCCCACGGCAGGCAGGTTCCACCCTGTGGCTGGGCCCCGTGCTCTGTGAACTGGGACCAGCCACGTGACCTGTGTGGGGGAAGGGCAGGCTCCTGCTCCTCAAGGGCGGATCCAGGTAGGAGGGAGCAGGGCGTCCCGTGATGGCAGCCACTGATCCTTTGAATTTTAACTTCTGGAGGTCAGAGGTTGGGGAGTGTCAGATCTTGCAGACTCACTTTCTGGGTCACCCTAGGGCAAGCAGCTTGCCCTGGTGCCACTTTGTCCTGTCCAGAGGCTCTGCAGGAGTGGGGATCAGCTGAGGGGCCCCTGGCAAGGCGAGCTCCAGGGGAAGTTCCGCTCCATCCGCTCCATCCGCAGCAGATTGTGCAGCTGGCAGCTCAGCGACAGCCTCCAGGTGTGGAGGAGCCGAGGAGGAGGCCACGGGAGATTGCGGCTGGAGAAGCCCGGGGCCTGAAAGCAAGGAGGCTGCCCCAGAGGCCAGACCTCAGCAAAGCTTGAGATGGAAGGGGTCTGAGAGTGGCCAAGTGGAAAGCAGTCAGCAACATCAGAAGACAAGGGATGCTGAGGACATCTCTTGAGCTGGACTGTCCAGATACAGCAGCCCCGTCACATGCGACTATTTATAGTACTTAAAATTAAATGACGTTTAAATTGCTGGTTTCTCAGACAGAGACTTAGCCACATTTCAAGGGTTCAGCAGCCCCCTGTGACTGGTGTCTGCCTTGGGGACAGAGCAGGTGTAGCTACTTCCCTCCTCACACAGACTTCTGTTGGACAGAACTGGGCCCCACAGGCTGGCTCCTGTTTCCCAGGACAAGCCACACAACACCCGGGGCTGAGTCTCTTCCTCTGCACATTTGGAATGATCATATTTGGACGTCCAGCTGTCAGGGGAAAGGCGTGCGAAGGCGATTGGAAATGTGGGGCGGTTCTCTGAGGGGGAGGTAACGGGTGCATTCTTTTTTTCTTTCTTTCTTTTTGGGGGTTGAACCCAGGATTTTGCAAATGCAAGGCAGACGCTTTGCCACTGAGCTGCACCCCAGCACCCCAGCCCCAGGAGCGCATTCTTATTTATTCATTGCTCTGTTTCTCCAAGGTTCAACAACCAATAGACATATTTTTTTAAAAGAAGACATTCTCTGAACGTAAAGCTCACATGCTGGCCCGGCTCTTGGGCTCCCCTCTCCTCCTCGGAGACCCGTGATTATTGTGCAGGAGAAATTTGAGGCCAGGTCCATTGCTTCCCCCTTACAGCTCACAGAATTTCACCGGGATGTCCATCCGCCGATTTGTTCAACTGCCAAGTTCATTTACGTGGCCATGATTGAACTCTGCGTTGCCGAGTCTCTGTCCCTTTTTTTCTGGGGAACAATGTACTTTTTCAACCTGCACATATTTTAGTTTTAACAAAGTCTTTCCCACTGAAGATTCCACCTTGTTCTCAGCTGCTTAGTCCTCCGCAGGGACCTCGACCGTGTCGAGGCTTGCTGTCCTTCCTCTCCAGCACCCCTCTCCTCGGCTTCCTCTCCCTGTCGCTCCCTCTGTCACAACCTGGTTATGGTGTGAGCACGTCCCCATCCCCTCTCCTCTGAGGGTGGCTGCTTGTCTTTGCTCTCTTTCTGAGCGCTGCGTTCCCGTCCTCCCCTTCCGGGCCCTGCACCTCGCATTCTGAGATCTGGTGCTCTATTTGGGGATCAGGAGGCCATCACCTCTCTGATGTGCTCACATCCCCTGCTCCTGCGCCTCCTGCTCCAGGCTGACTCTCCCAGCTCTATTCTCCGCGGGCTTTCGCTGTGCATCCCTCTGTCTCTTCATTCTGGGGCCATCCTGGTGAGGGTCCACACTGGCTGCTCCCTACAGAATGGGGGCCGCCTTCCAGGCCCATTTCTTTGTTGGGGGGAAGGTGGGCGGGGCTGCAGGTGTCTACCATTCGCACAGTGAGTCCTGGACCTTTCTCCCCAGCCGGCCCTGGAGTCTTCTGGGCTGGCAGGCGGGAGCCTTGCTGAGCACAACACCAAGGAGGTCCGGCGTGGTGGCCCCCAGCCTTCCTGTTCCCTTGACTCCTGCAGAGAGAACATGGGACCCCTGGCCCACGTGTGGCCGCTATCCGTCCCCTCCTTCCCCGGCCCTCTGACTGCCCACTTCTTGCCAAAGGTCGTTGAGCCTCCGGGATCAGCACACCCCGCCTGGGCTGTCACATGTCTCAAGGTCTCTCCTTACCCCAGGCTTTCCAGGAAGAGGGAGGCTGGGGACTGGAAGGGAAGGGGGAAGCCGGTCCTGCCCGGCTGCTGGGCTGCTCCTGGTTCCTCCTGCCCCAGGCCCAACCCCAAGGCCCTGTCTGCTGGACCTCGCGGGTGGACTGTCCCCTGCTTCCCTGGAAGGTGGCCTGTTTTTCTCCTTTTGTCCCTTTGGTGGCTGTTGTCAGGCTGCTGCAGAGACGGCTGGGACAGAGCAGCCTGTTCTGCCACCTTGAGCCCTGAGAGCCTCCCCTGCGGACTTGGCCATTAGAACCACGGTCCTCTGCTCCCTGGCTCCCGGCATGCGGGAAGGAGGGGGCGTGGAGACGCCACCCCAGGCCCCCACTCTCTAGTCAGCCATTCTGGGCTGCTTGGTGAGCTCCCTGCCCTCAGTTTGCCTGATGTAGACACATGACATTGATGCCCACCTGGGGGACAGAGCTGTTAATGTAAGACACACCCCCAGGGGTCGGTACGAGGGTACCCCGACAAATGGCCTGTTGTTCTGCTGCATTGTTATGATCATATATCAACATTATTTTATTATAAATAATACACGTTCAATTCCTTAAGGCTGGACTTCAAAAATGTAAACCCATGGTTCCCATGGGGGGGCGGGCGGTTTTGTCCCCCAGGGGAGGTCGCTGATTGTCATGAGAGGTGGGAGGTGCTGCCAGCATCTAGTGAACACGCTGGGCTGCTGCTGACCTCCTGCAGCGCCCAGGTGCCCTCCGTCTGCAATCAAGATTACACCCCCCCCCCCAGTGTCAATGACAATAGTGCTGACACTGAGAAAATCTGTCTGTCTAACCCAAGGACAGTAGAGGGAAAGAGAAGGAAAGAGGCTTGCCTGAGGCCACCCAGCAAGTCAGAGGTAGACTGTGTCAGCCAGAAGCTTCTCTCTCTTTCCTCATTAAGAGGTGATGGTCCCGAGCTTTTCAGGCCGCAGTGGTTGGGAGCCCAGCTGGCACTAGGGCACGGCACCCATGACCCTCACAATGAGCCCCTCCTTAAGCCTGGTCCTGCCCTGATCCTGCCCTGTTGGGAGCAAGGACAGGGTGAGTGGGGCAGGGGTGGTGGTGGTCACAGTCCCTGAGCAGCCCTGTTCATGTCCACCCAACCCAGACACATGGCCCAGGGTGTGAGTGCCTTGCAGGAAGCCTTGTAATCCCCCCACGGCACCCCAGCCTCTCTAGCTTAGCCAACTCACCAAGGGATTAAAGTTTGTAGGCAAAACACGAGGAGTGGGGGCAGGGGAAGTGCCGCGTCAGGCGGTTAATTTTTGAGCTGGGGACTGGCTTCCAGGCAGGCTCAAGGCTGCTCTGTCCCCACCACCCCAAGCTTGCCCTCTGCCCACGACAGGGAGGAAAGAGGGGCGCGTCCTCTCCAGGGCTCAGGACACCCCTGCTCCCTGGGCTGCTGCAGACACTCCTGTCACGCACTGGCCTGTGACCAGGCTCGGGGAGGTACCAGAAACCCCATGCAGGTTCAGGCCAGACCTGAGGGGGCAGGCCTGGGGCCAGCGGCCTCAGCCGTACCTCCCGCTGCCACCTGAGCGCCCAGGGCCAGCTGGGAGGCCCTGAGCTCCGACCTCTGGCAAGGAAGAAGCCACACCTTGCACCTCAGGGGTCCCTCGCCAGCCCTGCCCGGGCTGGGCCCTCTGAGCCAGCAGGGTTTGAAGCCCCGCGCCTGTCACTCACGACTGCTGTGCCCTCTTGGCCAGGTCGCTTCTCCGATCTGACCGCTTGGCCCTCTGAGTCTCCCTGTCTCATCCGTAAGTGGGAATGCGTGGTGGACCAGGGCAGAGGCCGCCGGAGGAGACGACGAGGCCACAGAGAGCTGGGTGACACCAGGAGCATTTCTCCCGCCGTCTCAAGCAGCTGTCCCCGTCACCTGGTGCCATACCACTGCAGTGCAAGGCCGTCACACACGGAGCACTTATTAGGCACCGGGCATGGTTCCGCGGGTTCCTTTGTTAAACATCCACATCTGTGGCCACCGGGTAGGGTGTTGGGCGTACTGTGGCTCGGGCCGCAGGACTTGCTCAGGGCCACTGTGCCTCAGTGTGGGCATCCAGGGGTCACAAAGCCAGCCTTCATGGAGCACCCACTCCACCCAGGCGCCAGGCAGGCGTGACCTGCACTTGCCCTCCGGCTCATCTCAGCCACCTGCTCAGAAATAAGAAGACTGGGGCCGGGGGCTGGTGGCTCTGCCCACGAGTGCACTCTGGCAGGGATGAAGCCAGGATCCCACCGGAAGGTCCGTGCCCAGAGCCCTGGTCTGCCCTCAGGGCCTTCGTGGTCAGCAAAGAGGAGGAGCAGAGGGAAGGCAGCTGCTGGCACTGCTCACAGAGGACAGGGGGGAGCTGCCCGGTGACCTCTGAGCCAGCCCCCTCACCCCACCCCTGCTCTGCGGGATGTCAGACCCTGGACTCATTAGCAGATGTTGTGACAAGTTCAAGTTCACGGAGCCATTCATTAAAAGTGTTCCCGGGCAGTCTGCGCCCTGGGGCTGCCCGGCTCACTAATCATTACCAGCCTGGCAGGGCAGGGACCGGGCAGGGGCGGCCCAGGACCACGCTGCCTGGCTCAGCGCAGCAGGACACATCGTCTTTGGGAAAAAGAAGCTGACTCACTGTGTGACCCTGGGCGGCTCCTCAGCTCCCCGTGGCCAAGCCTCCCTCGCCCAGCGGTCCCTTCATGCTCGTGCCTGAGGGGGCGTCCAGAGCTCACCCTGCAGGCCTGGCCGGGGGGAGGCCAGTCTGCAGGCCTGGATGGCGCGAGCCTTCAGATCTCACCGAGGCCATGGGATTTCACTTCATTTCTCTGGGGGAGGACCAGGGTCCTGGGAAGGGCCATGGTGAGGAGAGGAGGACCGTCTGCTGCCCCTGGAGCACTCGCCACGCTCCCACCTCAGGCCCGTTGCACTCGCTGCTCCCGCTGCCCGGAGGCCCTTCCTCTCTCCATCTCCGGCTCCTCCGCCTCCTTCAGGCCTTTCTCAAAAGCTCCTTCCCAGTGGCACCTCCGACTCTAGAACGGCACTGTCTCTGTCCCTGGGCCCCTGCCACCTCCTACCTCAGCATCAAGGGACGTGCTGCAGACCACACTCCCCCCATGTGCTTTGGCTCTCTGTGTCCCTCCAGGACGTCGGCTCCACTGGGCAGTGACTTGTGGCTGAGTTCACGCCCTGTCCCCTAGAAGGGCAGCTGGTGCCTCGCAGGTGCTCGGCTAGTAGTTCTGACTGACGTCTTGGCCCCTGTGACAGTGCCTGGCGCAGGGGCACAGGCAGAGATGGCGGTTCTTAATGCACAGCCAACTGGGACATTGATTGAGCACCTTCTGTGTGCTGAGAACCGCGAGCAGGGTGCACGGCACTATTCACCTTCTCTGTGGGCAAAGGCTTGGCTTCCTTCGAGGCAGGCAGGCCGCGTGACCCGTGAGGAAACCCCGGCTGGCGATGGCAGCACCGCGTTCCACCCACGGAGCCACACGCGGCCCCCTGAGCTGCCGGCTGCAGCCTGTGCCCTCTGGGATGGGCCCTGCCCTCTGCGTTCCTGGTCGGCCACCATCTACCCCCCGGCTGCCCAGCTGGCCCTGCTGCCGAGGCCTGGCCTGGGGGTCGCCAGCTCCACTTGACCCTGAGCCTCAGCGTCCCCTGGCTCTGGGATTTGGGCTGAGATTAAGAAGGACGGGAGCCTTCTCTGAGGTGTCCTCTGAATGAGCACTGTGTCACCAACCGTCCCCACACCTCTGGGAGACACGCTTCTTTCCATTCTCTAGGGGGAGGGGAATCCAGGGCCTAAGACCACTGAGCCGGGGACGGAGCCGGAGGCCCAGGAGCTCGTCCGACCGCGGTTCCCGGGGCTCAAGTGCAGAGCAGACCACCACGCAGCCAGCTGCGGCCCTGAGCAGTCCAGGCGCAGGAGGCCCCTTCGCCAGGTCCCAAGGGCAGCCGCAGCGTCCCATCTGATAGACGAGGAAGCCAAGGCACAGGGAGGACAAGGGGCGTGTCCAGGTCGTGCAGCCAAGAGGTGGGAGGCAGGCCTGGGGTCTGGCGCTGGGGCCTGTGCTCACCCCCTGCCCCGCCCCAGGGGCAAGTCTGGGGAAAAGCAGGCCCCTCTTCCAGAGAGGGAGGGCCCGGGTCTGTGCAGCTCACAGCAGGAGAGGCGTGGAGGAGGCAGACTCCTGGCGGCCTCCCTGCAGCGGGCGAGAGTACCCAGAGTACCCAGAGCTGGCCGTGGGCTCCCGGAGCCCAGCAGAGGTGGCCACAGGCAGCCGCAGGTCAGGCTCGCCAGGCTCCGCAGGCCTGCGCCCCACAGTTCCAGCCCCAGATGTCCTCGGCGCAGAGAAGCCCTCGCCAGCCCCAGGTGAGGGCTCCTGGCTGTTCCAGCCCCGTCCAGAGAAGCCGATGGGCAGGGGTGGCCGAGGGGCCAGGGGAACTTCCCTGACCGCTGCCCCAACTCCAGCCCCGGAGCCAGCAGCTCCCCGTGCCTGGCAGGAGAGAGAGGTGCCGGGGACACGGAGGCCCAGGGTGGGACAGGCCTTCTTTTGTCATTTCCCACCCCAGAGAAGGCGGCTGTCCAGGGGCCAGAGGGCAGAGGGCAGGGGGCAGGCAGAGCCCGGAGCTGGCCTCTGAGCCCGCAGCGAGTGCTCTGGCCGGTCCGGAAGACTCCCCGCTCCCAGCCCTTCCCTGGGCCTCCCTCCGCTGCCAGCCCGGTGCCCCCCAAGCACCCCACTCTGCAGCCCCAGCTTCCCCACAGCAAAGAGGGCTGCACTGTACCGCCCCCAGCCTCGCTGCGGAGATGGGGAGCCGGGGCCCCCTCCACGATGCAGGGTGTTCGCGGACCCACCAGAGGCCGGTAGCACCCCACCCTGGGATGTGACGATCAGAATGGCCTCAAGTGGCCAGATGTCCCCTGGGACCAACGTGAGACGACCGGAGCCTTGTCGGTACGGCCAGAAGCCCAGCGCCGCGGCGCCCACAGGCAACATGTGGGGTGCTCTGGAGCCCGCGGCCACTGGACACCTGCCTCGTGGATGAGGAAACGAGGCGCAGGGGGGGAGGACTGGCCACGGCCGCGCACTGGGTATGGGCAGCACTTGAGCCCCGTCTCCTCCAAGGCCTGAGCCCTCGCCCGCTCCTGGACGCCTGCCCCGTGTCTGGATGGCACCTCTGCCCACAGCCGGCCAAGGAGGAGCTGAGCCTTCAGCAAGGCCGCCCGAGGCCAGCCCAGGCCCCTGCCGCGGCTGTGCGCTGCCGCTCCAGGCCCTACCTCCTGGGCCTCGGCCTCTGCATCTGTGAGGTGGGCCCACCACCCCGGGCCTGCAGGGACACACCAGGGCCAGAGCGTGGGTGTCTGTACCCCGGCTCTGACGCCTCCCGCCACGGGCGCCTGGGCAGGCAACTGACCGCCCGGGCCTCGTCTCCTCATCTGAGTCTGCCTCCTGGTGTCCGCCCCTGGCCACGGAGCGGCAGGAGCTTCAGTGAAGTGTGTGGAACCGCAGCCGGCCCTCAGGGAGTGCAGAGAGGGGCAGCTGGATTCCCAGAGTCCCTCTGGGACAGAGGAGGGGCA